ATTAATTAAAACCGGAAGTAAATGCACAATCATAACTCGGACACGTGAACAACGCTCGTGGAACGTCACTATGTCTTATTTTTATGGGCTACTTGCTGCACCTCGCGTGATAGAATCGTAAATCTGGTCTGTAGAAAATTTTCTGCATAATTCATTACAATGATCTGATTAAATTGTTTTAGATAAATAAATGTAAAAGATTTTTTTTTACATTCTCAATATTTTTGCCAGATTAAATAGGTTGAATAAGTATTAAAAAGTTAAAGGGTTTTTTTTTTATTAGAGGCTACTTTAAAAATCACTTATAGATGCGACCAGTAATCTTTCATTATAGTGTTTTTTTTAACGAGTTATCTCCAGATAATTTTTTTCTCCTATATCATGTAGCCAGTGTTCATAAGTAAGTGACAATAGTCACTACAAACATTCGTTCCGTGCGGAATTGGAATCTGCGGTCCTGTAGCGCGTTAACAAAACGCTTAGTCACTGCGCATCACAAAGTTCAGCTTATAACTTTGAAATAAATAACTAAATGGAGATTTACATAAGGGCTCCTTTTAACCGATAAAAAGAATGGAAATAGCGTTACGTTGGATACCCCCCTCCCCCACACACGCGTTGTTACCCAGCGAATGACTAACGAGGATTGATCAATTAAATTATGGCGGAAAATTCACCATAATTTACCGAACCCAAGTCAATTGATGGTGGTAGAAACATAATTACTGTTTTAAGGGCTTTGCGCTCACTGGTTCTAGCAAACGCTTGCCGGTGAGTATTGGCACAAAAAAAATGCCATTAACACATTTGAAAAAGGCCTATATTATATATTTAAATAACACATAAATAAAAAAAAGAAATATACATATTAATTTTCACTATAAACTGCAGTGATATACCAATAGAAAAATATAATAAAAAAATAGCAGTTTAACGCTGCTGTGTTTCGTATGGTGAATGTAGAGAACCGGAGACCCATTTTACTGTAAAAGAGGCATTCCATCTTAGTCCTCACGGGTGACAACGGATCTGCATTTTGATTCATTATTGTCTATGGGTCACAGCAACCACTTACCATCAGGTGGAATGTGTGCTCGTTTGTCACCCTATCCTATAAAAAAATCCTGATAGAAAAAGAGATCTCTTTTTTTATAGGATAAGAGTGTCAAGCGAGCACACAGTCCACCTGATGGTATGTGGTTGCTGTGACCTATAGACATCTACATCTATCCTCGTTTGCAAATCAAACTGCAGATGTATTGTCAGCCGTGAGGACTAAGATGGAATGCCTCTTTTCCAGTAAAAAGGGTCTCCGGTTTTCTACACTCACCACACGAAAACACAGCAGCATTAAGCTGCTATTATTACAATGGTACTCTGTGAGAGCGTGGTGCTTCCCCGGTTGAGCCGACCTATTCGTGCTACAACTAATCAATTAATATAGCTGAAGCGTGGTTCTACCACGTAAAAATGGTTTTTAAGCTATATTTTAATTAAAGAAAAAGAAACATGTCTAACGAAGTACCTCACAGTAAAAATTTCGAGAAATGCTCAGTATTGATTTAGTGACTACATGAATAATTGATAAGCATTTTCTTCACCTTATTCATGTAGCTTGAAAGGAAATTAAAAAAAAAACATTTCTTGATGCATAAAGTAAGAAAAGTCTTGTTGCCTCACCTAATTACTTACAATCACGACAATAACGTGCACATTCGCATGTTTTAAAACGGGCTTCACGATGCAGAAGAAAATGTTTGTTGAACAATTTGCAGACTCACATCAACCCATTTTTTTATGTATTATGCTTAATTATTTTTCTTCAAATGTAAACCACATCACATACTAGAAATTTTGTCCGTATCTTGAAAAATTTTAATTTAATGTTCTATTTTTAAAATTTGTTGTAAAGAGTAGAAATGGCTTAAATTCTGATGATAAATGGGTTAACAATGTCAATGTGTGAGTAAAACTAAAATCCATCAAACCGAAGAAGGGTGGAGAGGACAGACGTACAGCAAGCAATAGAATTACATTATTCACTCGTCTCTTTTTCGTTTAATTTCAGTGAAATTCTTACCATCTGGTAAGTTCTTTAGTTATTTCAGTTTTATAAATAAAAGTTTAAAGAACTGGTAAATAAAACCAAAATCATCAATAAAATTTATGAAAATTGGACGATTCGCATGCACGAAATTAATTTCCGTATTTAAAAAAAAAGTTAAATTAAAGTTACAGCCTATATACGTCCCTGGCCACAGGCCTTCTCTAATTTCTGATTTCAATGCGTGCTGGCGAACTTCACATGACTTCGAAATTTTTTTTCTTATTTCTCAGTCATGCAGGTTTCCTCACGATGTTTTCCTTCACCGTCGAGCACGTCGTAAATCAGCACTTAAAATTGCAATTAACAATTTCATTGGTGCAGGCGGGGATCGAATCCGAGTAGCTCGCGTGCTGTGTAACTTACAGTGAGCACTAACCATCTGATCTACCGCGGCTTGAAAACGTATCCGCCTTACACGACTTAAAAAATGTACCCGCCTTGATATATCGCACCTAATACTTTTTATGTAGGCGTATAAACTTTAATATCACGTTTAACGAACTATAGTCATAACCTCAAAATATACATTTTAAAGTAGGTTTAGCAAAGTAATTAAAAAAATGGACCATGTAGTGGCGATGTAAGAATATCCACTACCCCATATCATTCCATGGGTGTCGTAAGATGCGACAGCGGAAAACAAATCAGCAGTGGCAACTATGACTAATATCTCCCCTATGAGGCAATCTATGGGGGAGGCCTGTGTTCAGCGGTGAACTATAAATAGGCTGTAATGGATGGATGTATAGAGATAATCTATCAGGAGCACATGACCCACTGAGATGTGAATTTATTAAATTAACAGTAACATTACAACTATGACAAAATAGCCTCTATGAGGCAATTTATGGGGAGGCCTATGTTCAGCAGTGCACTTCAATAGGCTGTAATGGATGGATGTATAGAAGATAATCTACCAGGAGCACATGACCCACTGAGAGGTGAAATTGTTAAATCAACAGTAACATTACAACTATGACAAATATCTCCCCTATGAGGCAATCTACGGGTAAGGCCCACGTTCATCAGTGGACTTTAATAGACTGTAACGGTAGCGGTAACTCATAGTTAATTAAATTTTCTTAGTTCAAAGATAGGGTGCATTGCAACTACCAGGACGGGGCGGTCTTTGCATCATACTTATAAAATACCATTGTAGACACATGGCAATGCGACAGTGGAACGGCACAGTAAGTAACCTTCAAGTAACTTAGCGCTTTAAAAGCCGAATTTAAAGTTTTTTAATCAAATAAGGGTAATAAGGGTGACAAACGAGCACACAGTTCACATTTATTTTCGATAAAGAATCAAAATGCAGATGCGTTGGCACCCGTGAGGACTAAGATGGAATGCCTCGTTTCCAGTAAAAGGGATATCCGGTTCTCTACACTTAACACAATATGAAGCACAGCAGCATTGAGCTTCTATTTTACGCTGGTATTCTGTGAGAGCGTAGTTCTACCCCGGTCGAGCTGACCAATTCATGCTACAACCATAATATAGCTACAGTTTGACTCTATCACATATAATTGTCTACGAATGGTTTCCGAGCCTAGTTCTACTGCCTAAGCTGCATGCAAATGTGACGTTGCGTTGCCCTTTGTGATACCCAATGCAGCAATTCGAGGATCTTACAGTCCACACCTCGTGTGTCTTCACAATTTCATTCATCCATGCATTACAGCTTGTAAAAGTCCACTTCTGAAAACAGACCTCACCAAAAGATTACCGCATATAGGATTTTTCCACAGTTGTCACGCTTGGCAGGCATGTCTTTACGTGGTAGAGCCATGCTGCAGCTATATTAGTAGTATAGTTGTAGTACGAATGGGTCGGCTCGACCGGGGAAGGACCACGCTCTCACAGAATACCATCGTCAAATAGCAGCTTCATGCTGCTGTATTTCGTATGGTGAGTGTAGAGAACCGGAGACCATTTTTACCGGAAAAGAGGCATTTCTTCTTAGTCCTCACGGGTGACAGCGCATCTATATTTTGGTTCTTTATTGAGGATAGATGTAGATGTCTATGGGTCACAGTAAGTACTTACCATCAGGTGGACTGTGTGCTCGTTTGTCACCCTATCCTATAAAAAAAACCTAAAATTACCCTAGCATCCATCATATTGATTTATAGAAATAGAACTCAGCATTGGCAGATAAGGGGAACGGGAAGCTAGGACAACTTTATATGGAATATTTATTCGTAGGCATATCGTGACACTACCTACTCTTTCCACAGTCCGAGAATTTCATCACCCTATCCTATAAAAAAAAATGTTGGCAACTCTATATTTTTATTTAATTTTTGGCTATTATCAGAAAGATGCTACTTCCCATCTCCTGTTTCAGTTTCCCCCTGTTCTCTTAAGACATCCACGCGATGATATAGGATAGTAGATATTCTTACACCAGCAATACACGGCTTCGCTGTTATCTTTTCGAAAAATATATGTTAATTTATAAATTTATATTGAAATTAATAGACTGTATATTTTACAATCCAAAATCATGAACATAAGCATCTTAAACAGCATTGTATGCAACGTCCAATTAAAACTAATTGCGGCTTCGATGTTATATTAAACATAGGGGTGACAGTCTAAAAGACATTTGTGCTGCAAATAGTAAGTATATTTTGAAGCAATAAATCCAAAATATTATAATTTTTTTAATTCGAAGGGATTCCATCATTAATGAGCATATAATCGATATTAAATTTGATTGTTTGATAATCCACCTTATAAAATTTAATTGTACATTTCTTTTAATGAAACTTGAATATTATTAGAAGTAAATATTTTACTGTTTATTTCCAACTTATGAACTAACGGAAACTATCAATAATATTTTTAACACTGACCTAATTAAAAAGTCACATATTTAAGCACTTACCATTACTTGACCTATTTTCAAAAACCTCCAAATCTAACGAATCGTTCTTATCTTCGGCATTCGAAAATCTGAACGTAAAGTCGTTCCAGTCGAAGCTAATAGCGTGACTTGTGAGAAATCGCGTCAGAGGGCTCTGGTTTGATCTCGCGTGTCTTGTTCTTAACGGCTCTATCGTAAGGACATCGAACAATCTTACAGTCTTGTGCTGCTTTATACTTGTATACAAATTCCTTTCTAGATTTTCTATACACGTTGCATTATCACTGCAGTTTAGCTCGACCAACTCCGCCCCAACTTGCCCGAGTAATACAAAAGCGACGAAGTAAATTAAGGCAGTCATTTTGATCACTTTATCGTCCTTATCACCAACACTATGTCACGGGTCGTCACCAATCCATTTGTGGGTCACGCCTTCTAGTTCTGTACCACCTGCTTCGGTGGTTTATTCGTCTATGAGACCCCGGTTTGCCTGTTAATGATTTTTATCCACCGTCACGCTGCACTGGTCTTAGCGGACCGTGTGTGCAATATTTTTTCAATGCATCGGCGTGTGCATGTATTCCAATTTATTTATCAGTACAACACATTTCTTTCCACCATATACGAACTTGTTAAAGAACTCTTTATAAGTGGTAATGCATAAGGTGCATTATTGCTGAATTGACATGGAAACGTGGGCTGAAAAAAAAATTTCGATCCGCGTTACGCATTATACGGTTTCTTATCATACGTTTGGTGAAATGATATTTTACTTTCGAAGGTACAGACAACATACACAATTTAAAAAATAAATATTATATTAATGTATAATACGATATTCCGTGGACCGTGATATAGTGTTCCCGTTTCATCACCACACGATGACACGCTCACATAGATTCTTCTATATATGGCCGTTAACGGATCTCGCGTGTTTTTTAGTTTTGTCTTTGCTACATCTTTCCTATTAAAATGTAACTGGACTTGTAGAAAAAAATTACACATCAATTTTTAAAACTTTGTTACATCGTAATTTGCCACGCCGAAAGTTTAGCGAAAATAGTTTTTTTTTTAATGTGATACTTGCAAGTAAAAATTTATTTTTGAAGTACAATTTTTTTTAAATTAAAAATACCAATGTTCCAATTTTAAGTTTCCCTACATATTCATACGAGTTAAATTAAGATATTATGTACGTTACGTGAAGGGAGCAGTTTCGGCTTAGTTGCACCGCAGGCTCGATTAAAGTAGGCGAATGAATCATATATTTATCGGTATGAAAGTCAAAACGAGGCTCTAGTCGACGTTTGGGGGTAGTGGTATCTTTAGTGGCTTGGCTGTTTAAATATGTACCAATACCTACCAAAGTGGAGCGATAAAGAAGCGCAAAAAAAGTTGTAAATGACAGTTTTCTTTTCACTTTGACAGGGTATCTGATGTCAATTCCTTTACGAAATAAAGGGAGCATAAATGTCGAAAAATACTTGCTAAAAGTGTTCATTGCTGTGAGCAAACAAGCGATGAACATGGTGCTCACGGGAACACGGGGCTCCGCGGGCTTCTTCTTTACCATAATAACAGGCCAACACACTCAGCGCTCAAAGCGAGCAACTTCCTGGATAGTACAAACGTGATAGAGCCACGCTGCAGCTATATTATGGCTCTAGCACGAATGGGTTGGCTTGACGGGGGTAAGATCACTCTCACAGAATACCAGCGTAAAATAGTAGCTTAAGGGTGCTGTGTTTCATATAGTGAGTGTATAGAGCCGACTTATTACTGGAAATGAGGCATTCCGTCTGTCTTCAAGGGTGACAACGCATCTTCATTTTGATTCTTATTCGAGAATAAATGTAGATGTCTATTGGCCACAGCAACCACTTATCATCGAGTGGACAATGTGCTCGTTTGTCACCCTTATTCTATATAAAAAAAAAGTTTATGGTTCACTATACTTATAGCCCTTATGACCGTGTGGCTTCTTTTTATTCTTAAAACTAAGTCTTCTGAAAGGGATACAGTTTTCTACGCCGGAACATGCACTAACAATGATCGAGCTGGCCGTAAAATAAATCTGTTATTATTACTAGCTGTTCGCCGCGACTTCGCCTGCGTGGAATTTATTACGATTAAAATCCAATGGGTTTTAATTTTTTTGCGCGCAACTCTAATTCTTTTTCTAAAACAAAATTAGCCTAAGTTACTCCTTATAACATTAGCTATCTTCCAGTGAAAATCCCGTCAAACTCGGTCCTGCCGTTTCGGAGATTAGTCGGAACAAACAGACAGACAGACATACAGACAAAAAATTTAAAAATTGTATTCTGGTTATAACTAGTAAATCAAAAAATAAAAAGTAAATTATATTATTGTACAGTATATACTCGTACTTTCATATGCATTTAGTAAAAAACTGTTATTTTGACATTACAAACAGACCCTTTAATTTTATTTATTTGTATAGATATAGATTATAAAAACGTAACCTCAATACTAGGATTTTCTCTTGTATCGTAGGAGCAGTTTAAATGCATAAGTTTTACAAGGACGTACATCCAGTCCCGGAACAATAATATTTGTAGGCCATGCAAATAGTTGTTCCATGCGTGATTCAAACCCGCGGCCCCATTAGCGCAGCAACTCATTGTTAAGCCACTGCGCCATTGTGCCAACAAAACATGTCAGAGGCGAAATAAAAAAAGTTGTTCGAAATCGGTTCAGTCGCCTGGAACTTTATACGTGAAAATTTCGGGAATCAAGGAAGTGACACAACTTTACTGTTTAAAAATGTATTTATTGCTTTTCGAAGTATTCTCCGCGAAATTTGACACATTTATCCATACGATGGAACCAATCATTGAAGCAACCATTCCATTCGGAAGTTGGGGTCTCCAAAATGGCCGTTTTGTAGGCGTCTACAGCTCCTTCGGGTGATGAAAATCTCTGTCCACGCAATTTATTCTTTATTTTAGGGAAAGTTTAGAAATCATTAGGTCTTAGGTCGGGGCTGTACGGCGGATGGTCTAATAATTCTATGTTTTCTGCCCTAAAAACTCTTTTGTTCTGTGTGCGGTGTGAGAACTCGCATTGTCGTGATGGAGGATGATGCGGCGGTTGCAGTTCTCTTTACGAAGTTCAGAAACGACCTGTGGCAAACAAATTCTAGCATACCATTCTGCATTAACCGTTCTTTGTCCCTCAGGAGGAATAGTCGTAACATGGCCGGTTTTGGAGACAAACGTGGCTACCATTTTTTTTTTGCAACACTCCGTGAATGAACAATTTTTGTTGGCTTTAACTCATTTTCGAACACCCAAACTCGTGACTGGTTTTTTGTTTCGGGTTCGTACGCGTATATCCAGGATTCGTCACCTGATACGATGTTGTATACAGCATTTGAGGATCCTGCGTGGAATCTTTCGAGAGTTCTGACGCACCAAGTAATGCAAGCCGCTTTTTGCTCTTCACAGAGCGAATGCGGTATCCATCGGGAAAACAACTTTTGTCACTTTTTTGTCACATGTCGATCTTCCTCAATCAGCTTACGCACAGCATCAACGTTTTCTTGGGTGACTGCAGTTTTTAGACGACCTTGACGGGGTCATCACTGAGCTTGACACGTCCACGTTGAAATTCAGCAAACCAGCGATAAATTGTGGTTTTGGATGGGGCTTCATCACCAAATGCAGAAATCATCCGGTCTTTGTATTAAACCACTTCGAAAGTCATAATAAATCATCGCTCTTGAATTTTCTCGAGTCAATTCCATTTTCTCAACGACTAAATAAGTTTGACAAAACCTTGTGGCAAGACCGAGAATCTTTTTTTAAATAAATAAATGGTATTCGATTTTTAAAACCAAGAAGTTTTCAATTAAAAAGATTTTAATATGACAGAAACAGTTGAAATATTCCATTCCCGATACTTTTAGTGCAGCCTATGTATAGACGCTGTAAGAGAGTTCTTTGAAAATATTTAACGATAAAAACTTGAACCATAGAAATGTTTTGGTTTCGCGAAACTTTCATAATGACCCACTAATACCCAATTATGTCTCTGTTAGGTGGATCCAAATATGTATAACTTACATTATAAAATGGAATTTGAATTGCACACATTACAAACACTGTGATTATTTCATAAGTGTTATGTTTTACTCAATTTGGTGCGTATCACTAAAAAGAGTTCTTTACTAAAATCGTTACCCTATTCTTATTCAAATAACTGAATAATATAACAAATTTAAATGAAGTTGAACGGTAAGCAAATTGTAAAGCGGCCAGTTGGAGTGACAACCTGGTAAGACATCCAGGAAGTATATGGATTCAGGTAGCTCAGGACCGTATTTTGTGGCACTCCTTGGGGAATGCCTTTGTTCAGCGCCGAACTTGTTAATGGTTGTAACAATGATGATGATAAAATCCTAAAAACTGAAAAATAATACGTACGGACACAACATTATTTTCTGCCGACTTCCAAAAAGGAGACGGTACTCAATTCAACTGTATGTTTTTTTATGTGCGTTTGTTACCTCATAACTTTTTACTGGGTGAACCGATTTCGATGATTCTATTTTTGTTTGAAAGCTGGTACTTCTCATGTGGTCCCATATAAATTTGATCAAGGTCAGACTAATAGTTTTTGAGTTATTCTTAATAACTTATATTGAATCCGGCTGTACAAAATTTTAAATTTTAAATTATCTATATCAATGAACATAAATCTCTCAGTACAATTGTCAGCAATTGTCTGACCTCTCCGTAGCCATAGTATATCCCGTGACCATTGTTGCTGTAAGCTAATCGAAATGTCGGGAATATAAAATAAGTTAATAAACGCTATACAATCCGTAAGAGTTAGTTTCATTTAAATCCCATTGAAATGTTTATTTTTAATTTATTTTACGATCGTTTTAAAGTATGTAAATTTAAAGTTTTATTACAAAATGCTTAACAGAACAAATCCAACATATTTTATACTTTTAAAGCTATTCTAGACTTTGAAGGTGAAGCAGCCTTCAAAGTCTAGCTTTTAACACTGGAAACTTGAAATTACTAACGTAGCATCAGCTACCTTATTTGTATCTGATTGAGGAATATATGTTTAATATAATTCAAAATTCATATATTATTACGAGTCTGGCATTTTGGTCACAGGGTATGAACATTTGGCTGCAGTGTTGATGTCCGCGAGTTCAAATCCAGCATGAAAATATATTTGTATGGCCGATAAATTATTCTTCCAGTCTAGTTGTAAGTTAAGGAGCAATGTTTTTTACTAAGCCAGCTCTTGACTACTATTCCACCTGCTGGTAAATGCAGATGCAGCCGAAGATACTAAAGGGCACTGAATTAATAAAAG